GAGCACTGGGTGTTATGCACAAACAATGAATCATGGAACACTACATCTAGAACTAATGATGTAATGTATGGGGATTAACATAAGAATAAAAAAAAATGTAAATATGGTACTATCAGTATGGAACAAGTTTTTTGAAGTTGGCCCTATCTGTACGAACATGTGCCAAGCATGCAATGATACAGTTATCCCTGCCTTTTTCACTATTCCAAGGACTTCAGAACCTTCAATTATACAGTGCACCAGGACATCATCTGGCCTTCATTTGGCCCAACTGCAACCCTTACATATTAAGTCCATTTCTGTTCTTTTCTCATTAATTTGGGACAGTTCAAATAGTAGTAACTATTATCACCAATAGCAGATGCAGTAAGTGTTACACAATATTACTTATGAATTTTTTTTTTTTTTTGCCAAACATATTTAACCTGAATCTAAACTTGAGGAAATAATCAGCAAATCCAGTGAGTGGGACATTCTACATTCCAAATGACCTGAACTCTTAAAAAAGATTAATTATCATGTTTTTTAAAAAAGGAGGAAGGAGAGTTTTGGTTTAAAATACACTAAACAGAGGCACCTGCGTGGCTCAGTTGGTTGAGCTTCCGACTCTTGGTTTCGGCTCAGGTCATGATCTCAGGATTGTTGGACTGACCCAAGTCAGGCTCCTCGCTCAGAGGGGAGTCTGCTCTGGGATTCTCTCTCTCCCACTCCCCTCTGCCCTTCCCCCTGCTTGCACACACTCTTTCTCGCTCTCTCAAATAAATTAATTAATTAAAAAAAAAAGACACTAAACAACCAAATGCAATTCATGAATCTTTGTTAGATTCTGCATTAGGGAAAAATATATCTACAAAAGATATTTTGCAGACAACTGGAGAAATCCGAATATGGGGATTTATTAAGTGATATTATTTAATTAGTGTTCATTGTCTTTGGTGTGATAATGGTATTGGGATTATGTAGGGAATGTTTAAGAATTAAGGGGTGAAATACTGGGATATGTGCAACTTTAAAATATTTGGCAAAAAAAGTGTACGTGTATCTGTTTATGTTTGTTATGCATATATTTATGTGTGTATATGTGTGTATACATGCTTATACATATGTAAGAGAAAATAAATGTGGCAAACTGTTAACAATTGGTGAATCCTGGTAAAGAGTATTTGGGCATTTCTTGTACTGTTATTTAAATTTTTCTTTGGTCTGACAAATTGCAAAATGAAAAGAAAAAGTAATTATTTGGCACCAAATGCAAACTTACATACTGAAGCCCAATAGAGGCATTAGGTTATAAGGCAGTCATTCAGAAGATATGGAGCAGGGCTTCTCAAACTTAAATAGACATATGAATCTTCTGGAGATCTTGTTAAAATAAAGATTCTGATTCAGCAGGCTGGGTAGAGCCTGCGACTCTGAATTCCTAATAAGTTCCCGGGTGATGTTGATGCTGCTAGTCTCAGATCAGATTTTGAGTAGCAAGGATCAAGAACATTTTTATATTATTTCTTAAGTGATGTTAACAAAATGAAAATATAGTTGAACCCTTGAACTATGTGGGGTTAGGGGTACTGACCCCCTGTGCAGTTGAAAATCCACAAACAGCTTTGACTTCCCCAAACTTAATGACTAATAGTCTACTTTTTAAAAAAATTTTATTTTATTTTAGGGGTGCCTGGGTGGCTCAGTAGGTTGAGCGTCTGCCTTTGGTTCAGGTCATGATCCCAGAGTCCCGGGATCAAGCCCCTTGTCAGGCTCCCTGCTCAGTGGGGAGTCTACTCCTCCCTCTGACCGTCCTCCCTCTCATGCTCTCTCTCTTTCACTCTCTCTCAAATAAAATCTTTTTTAAAAAAAGTTTATTTTATTTTTTTAGTAATCTCTATACCCAAAATGGAGCTTGAACTCAGGACCCCGAGATCAAGAGTCACATGCTCTTCTGACTGAGCCAGCCAGGTACCCCAATGACTAATAGCCTACTATTGACTGGAAGCCTTAGTGATAACATACACAGTCGATTAACACTTATTTTGTACGTTATATGTATTATATACTATATTCTTATAAAGTAAGCTAGAGGAAAGATGTTAAAATCATAAGGAAAATACATTTACAGTACTGTACTGTAAAAACATCAACATGGGGGCGCCTGTGTGGCTCAGTCGTTAGGCGTCTGCCTTCGGCTCAGGTCATGATCTCAGGGTCCTGGGATCCAGCCCCGCATCGGGCTTCCTGCTCAGCCAGGAGCCTGCTTCTCCCTCTCCCACTCCCCCTGCTTGTGTTCCTTCTCTCGCTGTCTCTCTCCGTCAAATAAATAAATGAAATCTTAAAAAAAACCAAAAACCAAAAAACAAAAACATCAACATGTAAGTGGACCCACACAGTTTAAACTCATGTTGTTCAAGGGTCAACTGTACACAATTAAAAAATTCTTATATAGAACTTATGGATTCCTAATAATATGAGAATAAGTCCATGAATCTCAATTTGAGGACACTGAGCTAAACCCATAAAATACATTTCAAATTAAACAGAAAGACTACGCTCTGAGGACTGAGGCCATGGCTTATTTTACATACTGGTGTAGTACCTTGCTCCTAGGAAAGTGTTTGGCACGTAATAGGCACTCAGTAAATATTTGCTACATCAAAAATAAAAGATACACACTCTGGATTTGGAAGATCAGAATTCAAGTCTTAGACTTCCTACTAATTACCTGAGCAACTCTGGCCATGTCAATTACCCTTATCCTCAGTTTCCTCATGGAAATATTATTACATTCTTAACAGTGCTGTTGTGAAGGTTTTTTGAGAAAAGTAAGATATAGCAAAGCCTTGTCTTACCGATAAAAGTCACTCTCTGGGTCACTGTGCCGGATCTGGAATGGTGCATTGGGATTCTTACAGTCTAAAGGCAGGAGGTCATCAGGAAGAGGAGGTGACCCCGGGCAAGAGGGAAGAGGTTCACTGTCTTCAGTCTTTACACCTTCTGTCTGTTGCTGACTCTGGGCCTGAGCGGTGGCAATGAGATTGCGCAGACGTCGGTTGTGCTGGATCAGCTGGATAGTATGGATGGTGAGGCTGCATGGCTCTGAGGGGATGTCCAACATTGTGGGGGGCTTGGGCTTGTTGGCTGAGGGTTGGTGCAGGGGTGGGTCATGGACTTCTACGAGACGGAACTCCCGTGGGAGCAAATCAAAGGAACTTCTGTTGGTCTGGCTTGATGAGATTGGTATCTCTCCCCAGTATCTCAACATTTTGGAATAAGAAAGGAAGAACTTTCAAGTTAAAAATAGTAGTAAGCTAAAAGCAGTGTTTTTAAATCTCTAGGTTAAAGGCTTCTCTAGTGAAAAATATGAAGTCTAGCCAGTTATTTACATAAAAAGTAGGCTGTTCAAGACCACTCAGAAAATGTCAGTGTCATCAACACTGTAGGACCGAAGACGTTCTCCCTGAAGAAATTAAGAGAAATACAACTGTTAGATGCCAGTCATCCCCAGTCACATACAGTGACAGTTCCTACTGGACTGAACCACAGGTGGAATTTGGATCATTAGTAGACTAATAGCTGCAATAGTATCAGGAGCATTAGTGTCCATGTTTTCCATCTCACCCCACTAACTCATTACTAGAACTATCATCATGCTCAATCCTGAACAATTTGCAAGGCAAGATACTTAAATGAGACCTGGAATATTTCTCAGAGTATCTTGACACATCTGTCCTGAATCAGTAGGAGAAAGGGGAATAGAGTTAAAGATAGGAAGAGGTGGTTCTTATTGTGTGTGTGTCAAACACAGGCAACCTTTTCCCTGGTCCTGATGGAAAAATTTCTTTCTTTCTTTCTTTATATTTATTTGACAGAGAGAGACACAGCGAGAGAGGGAACACAGCAAGAGAGGGAGTGGAAGAGGGAGAAGCAGGCTTCCTGCTGAGCAGGGAGTGTGATGTGGGGCTCGATCCCAGGACTCTGGGATCATGACCTGAGCCGAAGGCAGACGCTTAACGACTGAGCCACCCAGGTGCCCCTAGTTTGATGAGTTTTAACAAATATATGTGCACTTGTAACAGCCATCATAGTCAAGTTCCTCATGCTTGTTTTTATTCAGTCCCCTTCCTGCACACTTAGTTTTTGGCAATCACTAATCTGATTTCTGTTCCTATAATTTTGCTTTTTCCAGAATGTTGTATAATTAGGATCACAGTATTTAGCTTTTTGGATTTGACTTTTTTTCAGTCCGTGTAATGCTTTTGCAATCCATCCATGTATCAGAAGTATGTTCTTTTTATTGAATAATATTCCATGATGTGGCTTTTACCACAAGTTGTTTGTCCATTCATCAGCTGATTGCCATTAGGGTTGTTTCCAGATTTTAGTTATTATGAATAAAGTTGCTGTATATGTTTTTCTTGGTTAAAAATACCTAGGAGTGGGACCTCATTTTAGTTACTCAATGAGGGAGATATTCTCCACATTTACAGGTGAAAGAAACTGTAAATTTTGGGCAACATGATAAATAGAGCATGCTTCTGGGAGATATTTCCTCATTGTGAGGAGTGAACACGTAGTTTATTAGAAGCAGAGTACTATTTCTGATAGATTGGTGACAGCAGCTCTAATCTATCTAATGGGAAAGTTAAAAAGACTTGACCTTTTTTTCCTTGTAGTTACGGAGGAAAGCCGTGAAGAGCCAGCATTCCAGAATTTTATGCAAGAATCAATGGCACAGTATTGGAAGAGAAACAACAAGTAGTTTCTAGAAGTCCAGAATTTTGGAACTCTGTGAAGGAACTATCCTAACCTCTGATTGGGGGCTACTATAAAGGACAATTTTGTTCAGAGTTAGCAGAGTTTTTCTTATAGGGAAATTTGACTTAGATGCAGCCAGGGATAGAAAACCATTGGACCTGGCAGGTAGATGCAGGTTCCCCTTGGCCTGTCCCTTGGATTTATGCAAGGAAGGATATTCTGACTATTCTTGGATGCTGATATCCCTTCAAACCTAAAGCTTCAAGTTTTATCATTTGAACTTAAGTACTTTTGCTGCTGATGGATGGAACAGCAAGAACTTTTCACTTCAAATCTCTGTCAGGTTGGATCTGTATTCTACTTTCCCAGCATCTTGCCCTTGACCCTGTACCATGAGTTCCCCTCTTTTTAGCCGAAAGGGAGTGGAAACATGAACTTGCCCAGGGTGGCAGTGGAGTCTCCTTGGCAACCAATCAATCTTGGGTACAAAGTGTGGGGGTAACTCACTATAGGACAACAGGTTCATTGAAGAAAGTGAGCAAAACATATGACTAATGAATAAGAATCCTGCTTTGGATGATGACTTGGATAAAGTGTTTTTTTTTTATTATTTTTTTTTATTCTTATGTTAATCCCCATACATTACATCATTAGTTTTAGATGAAGATAAAGTGTTTTTAATTTTAACTTTGTTGTAAGCCTGCCTGTCATAATTTCAAATAAGAAAATTATGTAATTGCAAGTAGGTTCACCTCTATTCAACACAGAGGTTTAAAGCCACATGTCCAAACCTGTCTCAGTAAAGAGGGGATGTTTACTAAAGTCTCCCATGTACACATACCAAGTAACCAGGTACAGAGCTAGGCACCGTTTCTATTATACTTTAAGGTGAAGTATCCTTTGTGATTTATTCAAAGACCATGGATTTGGGTAAGGTGCACATTCCATATATAATAGCTTTGGTAAGGCAAACCTTCCACATTCTTCACAGTATCTTAAAACATAGTGTATTTCTCTTAAGGAATTTTATCCATGCCTAATCTGTACTCCAATTCAGCAGTTCTCAAGTATGATCACTGGACCAGAAGCATCAGCATGACCTGGAAAATTGTTAAAAACACAACACTTAAGACCTGAATCAGAAACTGTGGGAGTGGGACCTAGAAATCTGTTTTAGTAAGTCCATCAGGGAATTCCCATGATGTTAAGTTTGAGAACTGCTCTAGCTAAAATAGCCTGTGATAGTTCCAGGCCAGGAGAATCTCAGGTATCTTAAAATGACCTGCTTTATCAGAGTACCTAACCTTGACCATCTGGTGCCTATTCTCCAATGTAAATATTCTAAAAAGTATTTTATTTTACCATTAAGTATTAATTTCAGTGTTCTGCACCTATAGATTATATACTTATAGATATTAATTTCAATATTCTATACCTAGAAGCCACTAGTCTTAAAAATTTGAACCTGTTCAAGAGGAAACCATCTTGCAAAGCAAGGCTCTGAACATACTTGGTTTTTCCCCTTAGTGCTTTGAATACTTCCTTAAAAAAAACTTGTCTGGGGGCTTCTGGGTGGCTCAGTCAGTTAAGTGTCTGACTCTTGATTTCAGCTCAGGCCTTGGTCTCAGGGTCATGAGTTCAAGCCCCACACTGGGCTCCATGCTGGGCATGGCGCCTACTTAAAAAACAAAACAAAAAAACCCTTGCCTGGCGTATGCCTTAAGCTCCACTCCATAAGGACAGGGACAAAGTCTTCCTCATCTTTGTATCCCTTGCACAAGAACCAGTACATAATAGCTCAATAAATGTTTGCTAACTGAATGAATTAAATACTAGATGACTACTTTATGGAAACTGCCTGATGTCTGCTTTCATAAATAAACGGGAAAATGAAGCTAAGCGTGGAATGGGAGTTCAGAGAAGTGTACTAAGGATTGTGCAATTAGCAAATTTATAAGTTATCAGAGTTTACATTGTAATCTCATTTTACTGCTATTGCATTTTTTAAAAAAGATTTTATTTATTATTAGAGAGTGTGCATGCTTGAGAGGGGGTTGGGGCAGAGGGAGAACCAGACGCCGGGCTTGATCTCACGACCTTGAGATAATGACCTGAGGTGAAGTGAGACGCTTAACCACCTAAGCCACCCAGGCATCCCTGCTTTCACCTTTATTCTCAGTGCCTGGGACATTTAAGTCATTCAATAATGTATTAATTAAAGTTGTGCCTTGATTTTGGTCTCTTAAAAGAATGCTGTAAATTTCAAAAGACTGTATTCTGCACCCAAAAACCAAACTTCAGTATTTAACATGCTGGCATCCACTACCAAGGCATAAAACACACATTTGCTAATTACTCCTATAATTCCAGTGCTAATCATTCACTTGATAAATACTGACTGCAACCATCAGATGCCAAGCAGGGCAGATACTGTGATGGGTAATGATGTAAAGTTGAGGACATGATGTGAAGGAGAAAGAGGTGTACTGTTAGCCTTTTAGAGGCTGCCCAGCCAGCATGAGCACAGTGCAGATGCTGAATTCTGGTACAGGAATGGACTGCTGTCCTCTGATGGCCGAGTAGATGCAACGAATACAATCAGCACAAGTCTGTCCTTGGGCAGGTCCTCTTTGCTCATTTCCAATGGAGAAAAATGAAGGAAACAACTGAAAAAAGGTGCAGGTGAAATATCTTTAAAAATCTGAATGGAGGGGCACCTGGGTGGCCCAGTTGGTTGGGCATCTGCCTTCTGCTCAGGTCATGATCCCAGGGTCCTGGGAT